TGGCAGGGGCTTGATAGATGAGGGTGAATGACTGAAGGAAAGTTTCTGATTGCTTGTGTGTGTTACAAAAACTTCTCTTGAAATACAATCAGTTTATTGGTACAACTTAGGACAGCTCCCACTGTCTTTAGTTTGATAACTTTTTTTTTTGGCCATACCATGTGGCTTGTGGGATCTCAGTTCCCCGACCATGGATTGAACCCTGGCCCCAGCATTGAAATCCTGGAATCCTAACCACTAGGCCACCAGGGAACTCTTAGTTTGATAACTTTTGTTATACGAGGTCTATTCTTCTGTGAGGACGTGTTTGTGTCCTCAGCGGCAGAGAAAGGATTCTGACCACTGGTGGTGGTAGAGCCTGAGGGATTCAGTGGCCAAATTTACTTTTGAACTTTAAAGGAGCTCCTGATCCTTTAGCAGAAACCCTGAAACTGGGACTTCAGATTCTTCAGATCTGTCTGACAGGGCCTAGTGGAGAACTGAAGATCATCTTGAGAGACAGAACTTAGATTGAATCCATGTGACTTAGTGTGTTTCTATAATGCTATATATAATTTCCTTGTCTATAAAATGAAAATAATACCTACCCATAGGGTTGTTTTATAGACGAAAAGAGAAAATGTATGTAATGAGGTCTGATACTTAGCAGGTGGTGCTCAATAAATGCTGGTTACCGTTCTTGAGAAGCAGCAGACAGGAGTAACATTTATATTTAGGGATGGAAAACCTGGCCTTGAACTCTTCTCTAGGCCCAAGTCTGTTGATCTGATCTTATAGCATATTCCATGTCCATCTGATTACCTAGATAATTTAAAAGTTTTTTTTCAGTAGGGAAGCAAGTGTGTACTTTCATAGTTTTGAGTGTCAGAGTTCCTGAGTTTATTGGTTTCAAACTAAAACAACAGGCGTATAATTTAAACCCCAATTGCAAAATGGTATACTTATCGACACTACATTTTAATATAATGCATATATATGTAATTTCCATGTTTTAAGGGAGGTTCAGGATTTACCTGTTTGTCCAGACTTGCTTAATCTGTCCCATTATTCTCTGTAATAGTTTGCAGATGGTGACACCATTCTTCTTAGTGCAAGTGGAATCTTGTTATACTGAAATCAGATTTTGCCAACAATTTTCCTATATGTGAACAGCCAAGAGACCCAGTTGACCACATCCTCTGTTTATGCTACATTGGAATTTCATGGCAGTAAAACAAAAGGTGTGACTATCCAATGCATTCAGACACGTTCACTTGTGCTTTTCCAGCTTGGCAGAGCACCAGGGTCATCTGTTGCCTTCCTTGACCATTACTGTGAACATTATGGGCGTGAAGTTGTATAAAGGGTAGAAGTAGTAACCTATGTAATCAAGGATATAGAATCAGTCTGATATAATCTCACACTTTGCTTCCCACAGTCATGAATCTTACCTTTCTGGTGTTTGAGCCATAGCCATAGAGGAGGAAAATTGTCTGCTAGTTCTCCAGAAGTTCAAGATCAAAGTGATGTAATATGGAATTCCTTTCAGGATGTGGTGATATGAAGAGCCAGGAATGTAGCACTATCATAGACTAGGAATTTGGAAAAGCGTTCCAGACACACACTATTCTTGAATACAAAGGTTTGAGAGCTGTGGCAAGCTGGTTTTCTTCGTTAATCTGCTCTCTAGTTAGGAAGAAGACTGCTCAAAGTAAGCATTCTTTGTTTTTTTTTTTTTTTTGGTACGCGGCCCCTTCACTGCTGTGGCCCTTCCCGTTGCGGAGCACAGGCTCCGGATGCGCAGGCCCAGCGGCCATGGCTCACGGGCCCACCCGCTCCGCGGCGTACGGGATCTTCCCGGACCGGGGCACGAACCCGTGTCCCCTGCATCGGCAGGCGGACTCCCAACCACTGCGCCACCAGGGAAGCCCAAAGTAAGCATTCTTTTTTTTTGTTTTGTTTTTTGTTTTTTGTTTTTTTTAGTGGTACGCGGGCCTCTCACTGTTGTGGCCTCTCCCGTTGTGGAGCACAGGCTCCGGACGCACAGGCTCAGCGGCCATGGCTCACGGGCCCAGCCGCTCCGCGGCATGTGGGATCTTCCTCGACCGGGGCACGAACCTGTGTCCCCTGCATCAGCAGGCAGACTCTCAACCACTGCGCCACCAGGGAAGCCCACTGCGCCACCAGGGAAGCCCAAGCATTCTTAATAGAATAAGATAATTTTAAATCTCATATGGAGTGAAATATATGCAAGAACTGCTCAGAAAAGTTTGAAAAGAAAGATTTACGTGGAAGTGTCTGCTTGTCGTATACAAAAATACACTATGAAAACACCATAATTAAAACAGTCTGATATTTGCTTAGGAAACAAGGACATTTTGAACACACTTGAACGTATATATAATATATAATGAAGTTGGCACTTCAGTTTAGTGAAAAATTGTTTATTTGGAAAATTTAACACACTTGGCTCTCAATATAAAAGACAATAGATTAGTTTCATATCTTATACAATAAAAATTTTAGATAAGTTAAAGATATAAATGTAAAATATAAACCTATGAAAAAGTAAAAAGTGGGGGCAATATTTGAATAACCTCAGGAGAGGGGGAAATCTTTAACAAGGCAAGGAACTTAGAAACCAGGAAAAAAAAAGGACAGATGGACAGATTTGACTATCTCACTGTTATTTATTACGGCAAAAGTCATAAGCATAGTAAAAATACAAAATAACCTTGGCAAAAATATTTGTATTACATTTGATATGTACCCTAATTTTAAAGTAGCTCCTACAGGTTGAGAAAAGAAAAATCAGACAAGAAAGGCTGTTGAGAGGGGATATCCAAGAGGTTAATAAACATGAAAGAAAGCACAACCTTGTAGAGAGTCAGGTGTATAACAAAAGAAGAGTGAGATGCAGTTTTCAATGTTCTCATGAGAATTAAAAGGGATTGATTGCCTCCAGTGCAGGCAAGATTGCGAAATGCAACAAGCTCTTTTGAAAATAATCTAGAAGTATCTATTAAAATAAAAAACAGAAACTTTTGACACAGTGATTCCACTTTGGAGAATCTATTTTACATAAAGAGAAGAATTATTTCAAGTGAAATATATGTAAGAATGTTTAATACATTGCTTATAATGAAAGAAAACTCAAACAATTTTTTCAGCATTAATGGAGTGATTGAAGAAATTATGGCATATTTATGTTGTACTCTGCAGTTCTTTTAAAAAAAATGAGTTTGTTATATCTGTTGCCCTGAAACATGCCTATGATATTAAGTGGAGAAAAAAACAAAAGCAACCAAGCTGCAGAGTAAGTTGCTTTAAAAAGAAAACAACAAAGCCTCTGTTCTCTAAACAGCAGCTATGAAACAGGATTGTTTAAATGAAAACAAAGAGGAGAAGGGATATATACAAATATTTGTGAATTACCTAAGTCTGGTTTTCTGAAAGGGTCACCAATTAGTTAAATATTTGACAGTGCATCTTTGGGCTGGATTCCCAGATGGGAGATTGTTGGGTCAAAGTGTAAACACATGTGTAATTTTGCTAGATATTACCAAACTCCCTCCAGGGGCTGTGCCATTTTGCATTTAAAAAAATAATAAATTTATTTATTTATTTATTTTTGGCTGCGTTGGGTCTTCATTGCTGCACACGGTCTTTCTCTAGTTGTGGCAAGTGGGGGCTACTCTTCGTTGCAGTGTGCGAGCTTCTCGTTGCGGTGGCTTCTCTTGTTGCGGCTCATGGGCTTACTTGCTCCGCAGCATGTGGGATCTTCCCAGACCAGGGCTCGAACCCGTGTCCCCTGCACTGGCAGGCAGATACTTAACCACTGCGCCACCAGGGAAGTCCTCATTTCGCCAGCAGTGATTGAGAGTACAGAAGGAGTATTTTTAATATCATTGAAATATAATGGTTGCTGCTTTGCTGGGAATATAAACATTCTTCTGATAGAAAATGTCAAAGTTATCACAGACAGATTATTTTATAGACAGGGTAATTAGATGGAAACATTGGTGATTCATATTATGAGGAAGAATGATGTGTAACTTGCAGGCCTGATCAAGTGCTGGAGGACCCTTGCTATCTCTGCAGCAGACCTTAGTCCTACGAAGGGTCTCCTTCCCCTCCTCGCTGGGCTGGGAGGTAGTGAGCCTCAGTTTCTAGGCCATTTGTACCGTTAACACAGGTTGGGCATATACTATGTGCAAGGCAGTCTGCTGTGAGAATTTAAACTATGAATATTAAAACCTTCCAAGACTCTTGAAGCCTAGTGTTGAAGGGAATAAACACTTGCTTTACCCCTGGGTTGTGTTGTATAATGTTCCGTGTGCCTCACCTCATCTGTAGAGCAGCATTAATCGTGTCTATAAACAGTTTGTATGTGCTTAAACAGATTGTGTAATTTTTCCCAGTGATTTAAACGTAAGTATTTTGTTGGCCTGAAGAATATCTCATTTCCATTTACCTTATTTCCCCTAATTTTACTGATTGATTTTGTTGCTGGTTTTATCACCCAGATAGGGACAAAATCCTATAAAGACAGAAAATAGATTCCTGGTTATCAGGGGCTGGGGGGAGAAGGGAATGGGGAGGGACTGCTAATGGGGTGGAGCTTCTTTTTGGGGTGATGAAAATATTCTGGAAATAGAATAGTACAGTCACATATACTAAAGATACTTTAAAATGAATGAATTTCATGGTCTATGAATTATATATCAATAAAGAACTGTACAAGGAAAAAAATGAATCCTTATAGTGACTAGCAGAATGTTTAGGACGAGTAAATGCTCATAAAATATGAGTTAATTGATAGATGGCAAGAACTGCAGGAAATCTTTTTCTAGACCACAAATAACAGTCATCATTTGTTGAATAATAAAACAGGAGACAGTTTCAAGTAACTTACCCTACATAATCTCTAAGAAGTTGTACCCCAGGAGTTGTTTTTGGTAAGGACTAAATTCTTCATTTCAAACTTTCCCTCTTAAGCATCTACTTAATTTTACTTTCAGCATCAGTATGACAACTTGTTCCACAGTGGTTGCCCTGGGAATGATGCCACTCTGCCTTTACCTCTACACCTTGTCCTGGAATCTTGAGCAGAATCTCACCATTCCATATCAGAACATAGGTCTGTATTGGGCTTGTGACATGAAATAGTAATAGTAATGGTGATGGTAATAATAATAGCTGTTGTTTACTATGTGTCTCCTTTATACAGGGGTTTAAATATGTTATCTAATTTAATTCTCCAAATAACCCTACAGTACAGATTCTATTACCAGTCCCATATCCTGTATTTTCAGAATTAGGGAGGTGAAGTAACTCGACCAAGGTCATGCAGCTGGTAAGTGCAGACTGGAATTCTGACTCGCGAAACTGACTGCAAAGTCCAAGCTCTTAACTCCTACAACGGTTCACTTTTGAAAACAAAGCCAGAAAACTTACTTACTAAAAAAACCAAACAACCCTTATATAATTCACTAGAAAGCAGTTAGACTCATTATGACCCACAGGTGAACTGAATCACAGTGGCTCTAATGAGATCTTAGTTCCCTCAGCCCCACCTTTTATATCACCTGTGGTCTTGACTTCTTTACTGATCAACATAAATGATTCCTATTGAGTATTAAAGCATAGCCACATGTCACAACCACACCCATAGCTCTTTCATTATCTCCTTAAACTCTGAGAGCTCTGTGGACTCACTAGGATTGGAAGAAAAACTTGGTGAGATAATATGTCTATTCTGGTTTTATCAGAGTCTTTGGAGAATTGGTAGAAACCATGATTCATAAACTCCAAAGTGTCAATCTGGAGTCTCAAGTAATCACTTGGAGAGCTTACAGCCCATGGCCTATAGTTCAGAACCATGAATAGAGCCATGTCCTGATAACAGATGAAGCCCACTGAATTTGTAAAATTTGAGTGAAATCTTAATTTAGAAATCATGATTTTATGTGCAACTTTTTCTTATCACTAAATTATTTAATATATTCTGTTTTAATAATATACTCTAAAAGGCACTTGTAAACAATTAAAGCCCCAAATATGAGCAACTCACATGACTTTGGAGCTAGTGTTGCAAGTGAGCAGATTTGGAAAGTAACACTAAAAAATGTCAGTGTATGGATCCTATTGGCAAGTAGACCTCTGCTCTGTTGAGCCTGTCTTCAGTCACTTGTGTTAATTAAAAGATGTATTTCTCTACCTGCCTTTGGGTTACCTGGCTACACTTGGAAATATAAGAACTTCCTTTGGTTTCTGTAACAAATGCTGTTTTTGTCTTGTAATAGATATTCTTTCCCTTGCGAAGCAAATCACCCATTGGCTTCAAATGGAGAAATAATAGCTATAGTTGTAGAGTGGTGACCCCATACACAGCAACCAAAGAATTTTGCAGACATAAAAGGGTCCTCCTGTTTTCTAATCTTTACATTTTCAGTTGTCTCTAAAATTCCATGTGATTGTTGAGGGATTCTGAGAGAAATGAGAGACTGTTTGTGACGGCATTCAGTGGTATCATATACCCTTCAAAGATTGTCTTCTAAACATTAACAAACATTTTTTTGGAAGTGGATGCAGAAATAAAATGCATCTTGAATTAAAGCTTTTATCTAATTGAAATAGACATAAATTGTTGAGAAATGGGTGGTCAGGGTGAGAGGGGATACCATCTGACAGATTTTTCTTCTCTTCAGGAATTACCCTTGTGTGCCTGACCATTCCTGTGGCCTTTGGTGTCTATGTGAATTATAGGTGGCCAAAACAATCCAAAATTATTCTTAAGGTAAGCAACTCCATGGGACAGTTAGCACACTTCAGAATCAAGAGACTTCACAAATAGACGTAGGCAATGACCAGAACAAAGGGGCCAGTCAGACACGGCCCCACACCTAGCAATTTTATTTATGTGTCCTGCATTTTTGGATCCAGCCACCATATTTCCTCCACTCTAAGCCTTGCTTTGTCACTCCCATGGGCCCCTACACTGAGGCTTATGACACCCTGCAAAGCATGGAACTCGTGCTTTAGTGACAGAAAAGCTTAGGCCTGCGTGTGGCCAGAGAGCACCCATTTGTTCACAAGGCTTCACACAGGTGCTCTCAAGCAAAGGCTGTTCAAATCTGCATGAAATGGGGCCCATTGTTTATGAGTGTGGCTGGCTTCCTGGAACAGCAGGATGAAGGGCTGTCTTTCAGAAGCATTCCTGGGTGAGCCTCTAAAGATGGAGTTTGTACACACAAACAAGGGCTGTTGACCACACGAATAACTGTCAGAATGAAATCATCCAGAATGCACTGAGGAGTCTGGCCCTGGAATGATGGGAGCTGGAACCCTCTACCTCCTCTTGACTTTCCAGGGTTGTCTTTTGGCTGCTGGGGAAACAAGCCAATGTCCTTGTTAAATGGCTTTTAAAATTATGTGGCTTACACAGCACAGGGAGATCAGCTCGGTGCTTTGTGACCACCCTAGAGGGGTGGGATAGAGACGCAAGAGGGAGGAGATAGGGGGATATATGTATATGTATAGCTGATTCACTTTGTTATACAGCAGCAACTAACACACCATTGTAAAGCAATTATCCTCCAATAAAGATGTTAAAAAAAAAATAAATAAAAGAGGTTTTTAAAGATGGAAAAAAAAAGTTATGTGGCTTGAGAGGAGGTGTTCTCAACAATGGTGTCCATCTCCTAGGGTGTTGTCCATTTTTCTGATTATGTATTGTTTTAGAAGATATATACTTTTATTATATACTGCTTTCATGAAGATTTAAAAAATGTTTTAGTTATTTTTTGCATTTGTAAAAAAAGATGTTTGGAGCTGATTGGAGGTTTGGCAAATAAATGTCAGTTCATTTTAGTTTGGGGTTTATGGTTTGGTTCAGTTTAAGCTCTTGATGTTTGGCTCTACCTGACAGAACATGCCACTCCATTTGCCTGCACGAATGGATGCTGCTTCCCCAGTTTGGCACAAGACTGAACAACTCCCTCTAGTCCTCCGATGAGATGGAGAACGAGAAGAGAGGTTGACAAGCAGACAGATTAGCTGGACACAGGAGCTGGAGGAGGGCTTAGATGCTGTGCGTCCGGATTGCACATGATGACTTTACTGTTATTTCAGTAGGAGAAAATTTCCAGTGTGGCAGCATGTGGTTATAATTTTGTTTACAAAACAGGAGGGGAGAGTATGATCATGGGAACCTCTTACTTTTCAAGTACTCTATCTTGGAGTACTTTCTTAAAAGGGCATCTAACAAAAAAATAATGATTTTGATGTTTCCAGATCCTCTACTAGACCATCAGTGTCAGTGGAGAAATCAGATACATTTTCTGTATGTCTGTAAAGAGCAAAGTAAAAACCATTTGGCTGGACTTCCCTGGTGGCGCAGTGGTTAAGAATCCTCCTGCCAGTGCAGGGGACACGGGTTCGAGCCCTGGTCTGGGAAGATCCCACATGCCGCGGAGCAACTAAGCCCGTGCACCACAACTACTGAGCCCACATGTGATAACTACTGAAGCCCGTGCACCTAGAGCCCGTGCTCCGTGACAAGAGAAGTCACCACAATGAGGAGACCGTGCACTGCAACGAAGAGTAGCCCCTGCTCACTGCAACTAGAGAAAAGCCAACTCGCAGCAACAAAGACCCAACACAGCCAAAAATAAATAAATAAACCCCCCCCCCCCCCCGCAAAGAACTACCCAGCTGAGCCCAGCCCAAATAAAAAAAACCAACAAAAAAAAAACCAACAAAAAAAAACCCATTTGGCTATTCCAGAGGTGCTGTGGCAGAAAATATTTAATAATATGGTAGAAAGTTGACCGAGGATTTTTACAATCAGAGTTCCAGCATCTTCCCATTAGGCAGAGGCCCAGTCTTTCCCTGTATTTGAGCAGTAAAAATGATCCCAGAACACATCTTTGGTACATTGGGTTGTTTTTATTTTGTTTCGGTTCCCCATGACCGTCTTTCTCCACACCCTGAATCACTTCAAATCAAGGTTGATGCTGAACTGGGCACATAGTTTGCTGTTTACATGATGTGAATGGGAGCTTGCCAAGATCCTGACTTTCCCCCACATATTCTGGGTCTTGCTTCCTCTTTATCTGGTTTAAAACTCTGACCACTGGGAAAAATTTTTGTTGATCTTTTCTTTTGTTTCTATTAAACAACAAAAGCAAGAGACAGTATTCATTTGGGAGAAGATATCAGTATCTTCAATAGTATCTCATTTGACATTAATATTAGCTCAGGTTGTCTAATGAAGAATGGGTAAATTTCATTTGAAGGAGAGAAGAACAGGGAGCAGAGCAGTCAAGAAGTCATTGGTGGTTGAAGGGGTGGTAGAGAGAGAGTGGTGGATGGTCAGGCAGGGCAGATCTCAGGCAAGAGGTTACCAGTGCGGGGCCTGCAAGGTTGTGTATAGAGGTGTTGGATGCTTATTATCAGAATTTTCACTTATTTCACAAATTTGTCCTATCCACGAAAAACTCCACTACCCAATCCTTCTGGCAGAATCCTCCACTTGAGAGGAAAAGTTACTGATCATGAAATAAGAAGACTTAGATTTGTGTTGAGCTTCATCAAATCTAGCTCAGTCAAGTCACTTGACCACTTTGGACCTCAGGTTTCTTCTCTGTAAAATGAGATTGGATTTGGTGGTCTCTAAGTCCTCTCTTTGTTCTAAAACCTTCTAGGTTCCAAGGCTTTTGGAGGAGTGATAGACTTTGCAAAAAGACTGTGATGTTTACCTGTGCCTCTTTTATTGGTTTGCCTTAGGTTGGAGCCATTGTTGGTGGGGTCCTCCTTTTGGTGGTTGCAGTTGCTGGTGTGGTGCTGGCGAAAGGATCTTGGAATTCAGATATCATTCTTCTGACCATCAGCTTCATCTTTCCTTTGATTGGCCATGTCACAGGCTTTCTCCTGGCACTTCTTACCCACCAATCTTGGCAGAGGTACAGTTAAATTATCCATAAACTTTTATAAGGAGGACAAATTAAACACACTGCCATTGACAGGCTTTGCTGCCTGGCTATGTCTGGAAGCACAAAGAGTTTTGACATACAAGGTGGGTGGTGTTGTCCACTTGGGGAACATTTAGGGTGGTAACCAAATACTTGGTGAGGCTCTGCCAAGGGTATCTCATTTCCTTCTTCCTACAAGTCTGAGGGGCAGATACTCTGGGTATCTCATTCTACATTCTACAGATGAGCAAACCCTTCAGGGAGCTTAAGTAACCTGACCAAGGTCATAGAGCCAGAATGTGGTGGACTTAAGATTTGGGCCTTAGGTCAGTACAGTCATATCTGCAGGGCATTGGTTCCAGAGCCCCCTGCAGATACCAGAATCCAAGGATGCTCAACTCCCTATTATAAAATGGCATAGTATTTGCATATAACCTACGTACATCCTCCATATACTTTAAATCATCTCTAGATTACTTATAATACCTAATGTAATGCTATATAAATAGTTGCCTGCATGGCAAATTTAAGTTTTGCTTTTTGGAACCTTGTAGAATTTTTCTTTTCCCAAATATTTTTGATCCGAGGTTGGTTGAATCCGTGGATATAGAACCTGCAGATACAGAGGGACGACTGTAATTAGGAACATGGACTGTTGAGGAGTTGAAATATAATTGGATCTGGAGAGAAGGTATTCCTATGGCAAAGTGTAGTCAGCAATCCTGTTTTTTCTACACCTGATGGCTTGAGAAAGATCAGGACTGAGATGCTGCATTTGCCTTGTGAATGGTCCAGGTGTGAGGTTCAGCTGTGTCACTTAATCTTGTCAGGTTATGGACAGGGCTCTGAAAGAAGTGAGGGTGGTCTGGAGAAACTGTAGTGTGCAACAGGGTGACTAGAAATAAAATAAGAGCCACTGAATTTGCCCTGTACTAGTGACGATATTTTCACTCCCACATTCCACACCCTTGTTACCTCCACATCCCAGTCCAGTCTGCAAAGAGAAGCCGGTTTATCAAACGTCTCTTTCCTCTCTTCTGCCATCTGTAAAAGCCTCAAGATGCCCTTTGTATTCAATAAATTGGAGAAGATGAAACTGCCTAACCCAGCCTCCAAGGTCCTGCCTAGGTTTTCCTTCTTCTCCCCCCTGCTTTTTCTTTTTCAAGTGAGGTTTATTTTTCTTTTCTCTTCTGTTCTTTTCTTTTTTTTTGTAATTAGAAAATGAATAAAATATAGAAAAGGAGAAAGTAGAAAAAACTTATTACTAAACCATTTCACCAAAGAAACCGTTTTAGACATTTTGTTTTCATGTAGGGTTTTTATGTTTATTTTCAAGTGTTTATACTGTTTTGTGTCTGACTCAACTTTCCATTCTCATCTCCTTCAATCCTCCACTCCCTGCAGGTTGGCTTAGAGCATAAGCAATGCTTACTGAATAGGCCAAGCTCATACGTGTCCCCAGAACTTTAATTTCAATCACTTCCCCACATTAAATGCCTCTTTCACTCTTTCCATTCTTTAGTTTCACCCTTCCTCTGTGAAGCCTTCTCTAACCATTTATGACACTTTTCTGAATTTCTACAGCATTTCCCTGACCTTCGATCATACTTTGTCTTGTGCTGTTTCTATGTGTATATCTTGTCTTTTCACCCAGATTCTCAGGGCAGGGTTCATAGGGCCCTATTCAGAGGTGCCTCTCAAGAGGCCACCTACAGAGTAGGCACTCAGCAAATAATTATTGAATGGATAAACATTTTTAGTGATCTCAGTTCATAGCTTGCACTTATCGCTATACGTAAAATTTAAAAATAGTCCTTATTGCTAGTATGTAAAATTTTTCCATTGGTAGTTGCAGGACGATTTCCTTAGAAACTGGAGCTCAGAATATTCAGATGTGCATCACCATGCTGCACCTATCTTTCACTGCCGAGCAATTAGTCCAGATGCTTAGCTTCCCATTGGCCTATGGACTCTTCCAGCTGTTGGATGGGATTCTCATTGTTGCAGGTAGGTAAAGCCCCCATTGAGTGGACTTGACTGAAAATTGTTCACCCAGCTTACTAACTCCTTTTTCAATCTGAATATACATGTGCTGCCCTTATGATACATTTTTAGCCTGACATTTCTGGGGAAAATAAAATGTATAAACAAGATCTTTTGCCACAAGTGGAAGTTTCACAGAAAAATATTTTTAAAAACCTGTGAAAGTGAGCTTATAATTATAAACAATCTTCACAAAAACAATGCACTATCAGAACTCTCCATGAACAATTATTTATCTCAAAAATACATTTGTCATGTTTTATTAACAGCCTTGTAAGTCTTCCAAATGTTATTTCACAGTACTTATGTGACTAAGAATTGTGCTGAATGTCTGTGAAATGTTTTTTCACTATGAAATATAATACATACAGATATTTAAAAATATATATGCTTATCTATCCCTACAGCCAAAACCACATCATTTTGCAGGCAGTCATTATGTAGGTTCACAGAAGGTAAATTTAAAATATATAGATTGATAGATATGTACACAAACATACGTATATTTTAATCTTGGCCATTGTAAATTTTTTATTGTCACAGAACGTAAGGCTCAATGATTACTGATATAACTAATTATATACTGATTACAGACAATTAATATAAGGAACACTTGGGGTTTAATTTTCCCACAAGATAAAGTCTAGCAGAATAAAACTCCTGGTCTTAAATCCAGGTTCTAATTTCTTCTCATGGTGAGACTGTAATGGAAGGAGTATGCTTGGCCCATTCCTAGCTACCTCCCAGCACCCGGGGGGGCACCTGACCCATATTAAGCCCTCCAAGGAGTTGCTGACTGACTGGATGGTTGGATGGACAGACGGACAGATGGACGGACAAGCTGTCAGCCACCTGATGAATGTCTCAATCACAATAGGTCCATTCCAGACAGAAATAGCCATCTTGATACACCGAATTATTTTGCTCTGTAGTTTTTTCTTTTCCCCTTCTTTTTCCTGTGTGTTTATACATATATGATCCAAAGCAAACAAACCCCCAAAGTATTGACAAGTGCACAATGTCACCAAATTATAGTCTTTGCTAAAGTGATTTTTAATACTGGTATGTTTTAACACCTAGCATATAAGATGTACAAGAGGACACTGAAGATCAAACACAGAATAAAGAACCCCACTTTAAGGGTAGAAGCCCGCTTTAAGAAGAAATCCACTTCTCCCAAAGAGACCAGTGCTTTCTTGGAGGTGAATGAAGAAGGTGCTCTAACTCCTGGGCCATCAGGGCCCATGGATCTCCACAGGGCTGTCATGCCAACTGGCCAGATCTCATGTGCCAAGTAGGGGTTTGCTGGCTTGACTGGTCCCTGTCTTCCTCAGTGGCCAGTAAAGACAGTGCAGAGCTGATGAGTGAATCTCGTTGGCAGGGCTTATGGGAATGTTTGCGTGTCAGATGTCAACATATTTATATTTCTGTGTGGACTGTGATTTGTCATAGGATCCCCTTTTGAGAATATGCTCTGCCTATTTCAGGTTCTTTGGGGGTTTACACAACAGATTTATTAGCTACTTTGTGTGTTCTTGTCTTCCCATACAGTGAAGAGTGATCCCCATTGTTACGTGAAGTCATCAAACTGTGAATTTTAACCTCACAAGAGTTAGAACTCTGTGTAGAGGAGATGTCACCTCATACTGCAGGGCAAGGACAGAGTCTGGACCCACTTGACTTCTCGACTTTGGGCAAGTCCTTTGGGGCATTGGGGAGGAAGCATACAGCTCTTATAAAAATGGGGTCTTTTCTCAAATGATTGTTTTTTTTAAGGGCTTGAAAATCTTTTTAGATTTATAGACGTAATCACGAGCCTCAAGGGAACTTAATGAACACTTGAAGTTAATATTTTTACTCCCTAGAGATAGACACAATGTATATTCTTCTAATATACATTTATGCATTATGTCATTTTAAAAACATTGAGGGCTTCCCTGGTGGCGCAGTGGTTGGGAGTCCGCCTGCCGATGCAGGGGACGTGGGTTCGTGCCCCGGTGCGGGAGGATCCCCCATGCCGCGGAGCGGCTGGGCCTGTGGGCCTTGGCCGCTGGGCCTGTGCGTCCGGAGCTTGTGCTCCATGGCGGGAGAGGCCGCGGCAGTGAGAGGCCCGTGTACCGCAAAAAAAACCAAAAACAAACAAAAAACAAAAAACATTGAGATCATTCCACATATACTGTTTCATAAGTCACTTCATGAAATATTGTGGAGCATCTTTACATGGCAGTCTATGTTGACCTACCTCATTCCTTAGAACAGTGGCTTTACAGAAGTAAAGTATTCCAGTGCATGAAAGGTCTATAATTTATTTAACCATCCCTTAGTCATGGACATTTAGATAGCTTTCAACTTGGTGTTACGGTGCCGCTACAGACACTTGTGCCTTCATGCAAGTGTTTCTGTAGGATCATTTTCTAGACTTGAAAATGTGCAACCAGGCTGATGGCACATTAAAATGTTGGGCAGTGAGCTCTCTGGCAACACTGTTCAGCAGTGCCTGAGAGTGTCTGGTTTTTCCACAGCCACACCAGTCTTAAGAATGATCATTCTGCTTTGTGAAAATACCTCATTTAAAGTTGCATTGTTAAAATTATACAATGAAGTGAAGCAGAGTATTTTTCATGGATGCTTACTTGTTCATGTACTTTGCCTGCTTTTTTTTTTTTTTAAAGAAATGGCCTTTGATTGATTAATTAGTTAATTTTTTGGCTGCCTTGGGTCTTCGTTGCTGCGTGCGGGCTTTCTCTAGTTGCGGCGAGCAGGGGCTGCTCTTCCTTATGGTGTGCGAGCTTCTCATGGCGGTGGCTTCTCTTGTTGCAGAGCACGGGCTCTAGGGCGCATGGGCTTCAGTAGTTGTGGCTCGTGGGCTCAGTAGTTGTGGCTCGTGGCTCTAGAGCACAGGCTCAGTAGTTGTGGCACATGGGCTTAGTTGCTCCATGGCATGTGGGATCTTCCCGGACCAGGGCTCTAAACCCATGTCCCCTGCATTGGCAGGCAGATTCTTAACCACTGTGCTACCAGGGAAGTCCCTTTGCCTGCTTTTCTATTGCAGTTTTTCCTTTTTAACTGATAAAACAGACAGTGACCCTTTGTTCTATGTTTTGTCAATATATTACCTACTTGTTTGTCTTTTTATTTTTGTATAATTTCTTTTGCTGTAAGGAAGTTTTATATTTTTATATATACCACTTTATTAGTCTTTTAAAAAATGTTTTTTGACCTTAATATCTGTCAAATGTTAGACTATTTATACTTTTGTGTGGATTGTGAATTGGAAAAGGACCCACCCCTCTTTGAGAATGTATTTGGCCCCTTTTCAGGGAGTTCTTTTTTGGGGTTAATACACATACTTACTAGCTGCTGTGTATACTGTCAGTAGATAAAACCCATCCTCCTTCTCTATTCTGACATTATTAAAAATATGTCCCATATATTTCTCTATAACTTTGGACTAAATATGTACATGTTTATTCCATTTTGAATTTATTTTTCTCTATGGCGTGTTAAGAATCTAATTGTCCTAACATCATACATTGAATGATTCATCTTTTCTCTACTGATATGAAATGCCACCTTCATCACATAACTTCCTATATAATGTGTTTTTGTTGGACTCCATTTGGTTCCATTTTTTCTATTTGTAAATTTTGGAGTGTGAGAAAGTGTATTGTCTGAGATTTAGTGCTTTACAATTTTATTTTGTAAGTATACTCAAGAACTTGTGGGTTATATATATAATGACAATGATTATTATGGTATTTTCACAAGTAAGGACATCTTTGTGGTAGTACACAAAGAGCCCCATTGGGTGTCACAAGTATATTTATATGGAAAAGAAGTACACACATGTGTGACATGATTGTTAATTCTCAACTGCTGCAGTGAACATAGTAGAATTATATGTTCAGAGAGCCCCAGTTCTAAAATAAGCATTACCATGAGTGAGTTTTAAAGGATCCACAAAAAAGGAATTTCTAAATTGTTCCTCTACACAGGCACCTAACATAAAATGGTAAATTCCAGTGTTCCATTCTGAAGTATTAACTGCATGGTCAGTATTTACCACAATCAGGACAGGTCTGGAGAGAAGTCTACCAAAAGCCATCCATTAAGACAGAAACAACACAAATCAATGTAAGGGTTTGAAAGTAGTCACATTGGAAGACTGCCATTTCCAGAGATGGTATGTAAACATGTTACTGAGAAGAACTAGAAATAGTCAAGTTGTCCAGGAGGCCACACATTATCTTTAAAGAGAAGAATGTAACTAAACAAAAGCTCTAACTGAATAAATTGTATTCTAACTGATCTCAATAATCATGCATTCATAAAAGCAGGGCCTATGTGAAGCTCAGAAGGGGGGGCCAGAGAAATAACGTTAAGCAGAATGAGTCCAGCTCTGTGTTTGGAAAAGAGCCAGGTGGATATTTGAGGTAGCAGAGTGTAAAGAACACGGTCTTTGCCAGGGCTACTTGTTGTGATCCACTTGAGCTAGGACACTTCAGGACTTGTGTGTTGAAGCCAGGTAGTCCTAGAATTGAATCCCAGCTCTGTTATTTGGACAACGTTGAGCAAGTGAGAATCCCCCTGAACTTCAGTTTCCTTTCTTAAAAAGGATGATATGCTGCCCACTAGCGGGTTGGAACCAGTCCTGCGATGCCCTGGGCTCTGCAGCCAGCTGCCCTGAGACCCTGCCCAGTCTACCAATGGGCTGGCACTGGTTTTGGCAGTCTCTAGGCTGTGCAGCCAACCACACTGGGACCTAACACTGCCCACCAGTGGGCCAGCAGCCACCGCACTAGGCAGGGCCTGGCAGGCAACCAGGCCAGCGCCAGCCTTGCCTAACAGCGTGCCCACTGTAGTCAGCCCTGGCATAGAAAAAGGGCCCATGCAGCCAACACAGGGGGAACCCATAGAGCATATAGCTCTGGTGAACAGAGAGGAGTGTGCTGCTCAGACCCATAGCATGTCTCCGACATAAGGGCACTTCTCTAAGATTGGGAAACATAACCAACCTACCTAATACATACAAATACATACAAACACAGAGAATTAGGCAAAATGGAGAGACAAAGAAATATGTTCCAAATGAGGAACAAGACAAAATCCCAGAAAAACTAAGTGGAGATAAGCAATGTACCCAATAAAGTTTAAGGTAACGATCATAAAGATGCTCAACAAACTCAAAAGAAAAATGGATGAACACAGTGAGAAGTTTAACAAAGAGCTAGAAAATATAAAGAACCAAACAGAGCTGAAGAGTACGAGAACAGAAATAAAAAAAATACTAGAAGGAATCAACAGTAGATTAGATGATATGAAAGAATGGATCAGTGAACTGGAAGACAGCAGAGGAAATCACTTAAGCTGAGAAGGAAAAGAAAAACAAACAAACAAAAAAACAGTTTAAGAGACCTCCAGGACAACATCGAGCCTGCTAACATTCACATTATGGGGTCACAGAGGAAGAGAGAGAGAGAGAAAGGCGCAGAGAACATATTTGAAGACATAATAGCTGAAAATTTCCCTAAACTGGGAAGAAAAAAACAGGCATTCAGGCTTAGGAAGCACAGAGAGTCCCAAACAAGATCAACCTAAAGAGGTCCACATTAAGACACATTGTAAGTAAAATGACAGAAATTAAAGTGAGAATCTTAAAAACAGCAAGGGAAAAGCAATTAGTTTTATACAAGGAAATTCCCATAAGACTGTCAGCTGACATTTTAGTAGACACTCTGCAGCCCAGAAGGGAGTGGCATGATATATTCAAAGTGATGGAGAAAACCTACAACCAAGAATACCCTACCCAGCAAGGCTATCATTCCGATTTGAAGGAGAGAGAAAGAGTTTTACAAAGAAGTTTTAAAAGTTAAGAGAGTTCAGCACAACTAAATCAGCTGTACAAGAAATGTTAAAGAGATGTCTCTAAGTGGAAAAGAAAAGGCCACAGCAGAAAGATGAAAATTACAAAAGGAAAAATCTCATTGGTAAAGGCAAATATACAGTAAAGGTAGTAGATCAACTACTTATAAAGCTAGTAGGAAAGTTAAAAGACAAAAGTATTAAAATCATCCATATCCAAAATAATTAGTTAAGGGATACACAAAACCAAAAGATGTGAAATATGATGTCAAACACATTAAATGTGGGGAGAGGGAGCAAATATGTAGGGCTGTTACAATGCATTTGAACTTGAGATCAACTTAAATTTATATGTATATATAGGTTTATATATATATGTGTGTACAGAGCTTGTTATATTTAAACCTCATGGTAATGAATGACAAAACAAAAAATCCAAAATAGATACACACACAAAAAAGATAAAGGAGTCCAAACATTAAAGATAATCATCAAATTCTAAGGGAAGAGAACAAAAGAAGAAGAAAGGAACAAAAAAGAGCTTCAAAACAACCAGAAAACAATGAACAAAATGCCAGTAAGTATATACCTATTAATAATTACTTTAAATATAAATGGACTAAATGCTTCAATCAAAAGACATAAAGTGGCTGAATGGATTTAAAAAGAAAAAAGACATATATATATGCTGCCTACAAGAGACCCACTTCAGATCAAAAGACACACATAGACTGAAAGCGAGGGGACTGAAAAAGGTATTGCATGCAAATAGAAAACAAAAGAAAGTTGGGGTATCAATACTTATATCAGTCAAGATAGACTTTATTTTTATTTTTTAAATTTTCTTAATATCTTTATTGGAGTATAATTGCTTTACAATGGTGTGTTAGTTTCTGCTTTATAACAAAGCGAATCAGTTATACATATACATATGTTCCCATATCTCTTCCCTCTTGCATCTCCCTCCCTCCCACCCTCCCTATCCCACCCCTCTAGGTGGTCACAAAGCACAGAGCTGATCTCCCTGTGCTATGTGGCGGCTTCCCACTAGCTAGCTATTTTACATTTGGTAGTGTATATATGTCCATGCCGCTCTCTCACTTTGTCACAGCTTACCCTTCCCCCTCCCTATATCCTCAAGTCCATTCTCTAGTAGGTGTGGGTCTTTATTCCCCTAGGGTCTTGCCCCTAGGTTCTTCATGACCTTCTTTTTTTCCCCTTAGATTCCATACATATGTGTTAGCATACGGTATTTCTTTTTCTCTTTCTGACTTACTTCACTCTGTATGACAGACTCTAGGTCCATCCACCTCACTACAAATAACTCAATTTTGTTTCTTTTTATGGCTGAGTAATATTCCATTGTATATATGTGCCACATCTTCTTTATCCATTCATCTGTTGATGGACAATTAGGTGGCTTCCATGTCCTGGCTATTGTAAATAGAGCTGCAATGAACATTTTGGTACATGACTCTTTTTGAATTATGGTATTCTCAGGGTATATGCCCAGTAGTGGGATTGCTGGGTCGTATGGTACTTCTAGTTTTAGTTTTTTAAGGAAAATCCATACTGTTTTCCATAGTGGCTGTATCAATTTACATTCCCACCAACAGTGCAAGAGTGTTCCCTTTTCTCCACACCCTCTCCAGCATTTATTGTTTCTAGATTTTTTGATGATGGCCATTCTGACTGGTGTGAGATGATATCTCATTGTAGTTTTGGTTTGCATTTCTCTAATGATTAATGATGTTGAGCATTCTTTCATGTGTTTGCTGGCAATCTGTATATCTTCTTTGGAGAAATGTCTATTTAGGTCTTCTGCCCATTTTTGGATTGGGTTTTTCTTTTGATATTGAGCTGCATGAGCAGCTTGTAAATTTTGGAGATTAATCCTTTGTCGGTTGCTTCATTTGCAAATATTTTCTCCCATTCTGAGGATTGTCTTTTGGTCTTGTTTATGGTTTCCTTTGCTGTGCAAAAGCTTTGAAGTTTCATTAGGTCCCATTTGTTTATTTTTATTTCCATTTCTCTAGGAGGTGTGTCAAAAAGGATCTTGCTGTGATTTATGTCATAGAGTGTTCTGCCTATGTTTTCCTCTAAGAGTTTGATAGTGTCTGGCCTTACATTTAGGTCTTTAATCCATTTTTTTTAACATCTTTATTGGGGTATAATTGCTTTACAATGGTGTGTTAGTTTCTGCTTTATAACAAAGTGAATCAGTTATACATATACATATGTTCCCATATCTCTTCCCTCTTGTGTCTCCCTCCCTCCCACCCTCCCTATCCCACCCCTCCAGGCGGTCACAAAGCACTGAGCTGATATCCCTGTGCCATGCGGCTGCTTCCCACTAGCTATCTACCTTACGTTTGTTAGTGTATATATGTCCATGACTCTCTCTCGCCCTGTCACAACTCACCCTTCCCCCTCCCCATATCCTGAAGTCCGTTCTCCAGTAGGTCTGTGTCTTTATTCCTGTCTTACCCCTAGGTTCTTCATGACATTTTTTTCCCTTAAATTCTATATATATGTGTTAGCATATGGTACTTGTCTTTTTCTTTCTGACTTACTTCACTCTGTATGACAGACTCTAGGTCTATCCACCTCATTACAAATAGCTCAATTTCGTTTCTTTTTATGGCTGAGTAATATTCCATTGTATACATGTGCCACATCTTCTTTATCCATTCATCTGATGATGGGCACTTAGGTTGTTTCCATCTCCGGGCTATTGTAAATAGAGCTGCAATGAACATTTTGGTACATGACTCTTTTTGAATTATGGTTTTCTCAGGGTATATGCCCAGTAGTGGGATTGCTGGGTCATATGGTAGTT